CGGAAACGTGAAACTTGGAATGCATAGAGAATGATGCATGTGACACTATAATATGTATATTAGTATTTTGCAAAAAAATTCAATCAAATTGAAAACAAGGTATAGCTTGTTACCTCAAGTCCTTAGCAACTTTGGAGACTTTTTATTTCAAGAAAAATTAAACAAAATAGTATTCACACTAAGGGAAAAGAAGAATTAGGCCAAGAAAGATATTTAGGGTTCTTAGAAATTTTTTATCTCTACACTAAAATTGGTATATCATTTTCTTTATAAATGTAGCCTTGTAAACAATTCAATAATTGCTTTGGACTTCCTTAAACAATTCCATAATTGTTTTGGAGTTGTAAATAATTCCATAATTATTATGAAGTTATTAAACTTCTTTAAATAATAACATTGGATTAACATTTAATCATAATAAACAATTTAAGGGTTAAATTGTTTACATAATAATTTAACCCTTAAATTGTTTATATGTTTACAATTACAACCCATTATTAAATCCAATTTAATTTAAAGAAAATGATTAATTATGAATTGGAATTCCATTTAATTCCCATTAGCAACTTAACTGTTAAATTATTCATAATAACTAATATAACTTTCTATTGAATCCAATTCAATGATAATAATATAAATAACTTTATTACCGTTAGCAGGTGTTAGCCAACCTTAGATAATCAATTCTCTTTGGCTATATCTTCATTCTCCTTAGTTTTTATGTGTGACCTCTTAGGTTCAATGTGGCCTAGCCATGGGCCCAATATCATAGTCTATTCTGATATGTTTCGTCATAACTCTTTATGACCGAAACTCCAACTGATTATGGTAGACATCTAGCAATGCTCCATAACCCCCAAGTCACAATGACAATATACTCCAACGAACCCTTTTATAATCATATGTGTTGTGTAATTAAATTCTTCCATTGTCTAATCCCAATTAAGAATAGATTCATGGTATGTCAAAATCTTTGTCTTAATCTTATATCAAATTGACAATCAATACATACGGAATGCATCACCATGAAACAACCTTTCAGGTAACATTTTATATACCCTATCCGGAGATTTCCCTTTTCCAATGTATCTTGACATTTGTCTAGGAACTTCGATATCAATCTATACCAAGTCAATAGATCCCATCTTAATTATCACTTGTCTTCACACATAAATAACACATGACCAAATCGGTTTTTTTACACATGACGTGATTAGCTTCGTGTTTATACACCATATAAACCATATGCGTTTATGCGTCTAAAGATTAATAGTATACTAGCACGATGTTATGATGCATCATTGACTGCATTCTAAATGTCCAAGTGATTCATCATAAATAGTAATATTTGATAAACAGTTCACTAACCGCTTATCCATGCTAATGCCCTAGTGATATAACTTTTATAATCACATACACTAATACCATCACATGATATTCAACAGAGGCATTAAACATACATACAATATAATATTATTGCCCAATTAATATTACCTATGTAGGGAATACTTTGTTGATTTTGATCTTCTAAAAATTTGTATCATCCGAACATTTCACGTGTAATACATATATATAAATGAAGCAATAAACCACATGTGAAATACAAAAACTTTCTTTTATTAATAAGAAAAAAATGTATATACAAAATATAATACCTTGGAACCGACAACATGATTTGTTCCTAAGGCATACACTAACAAAACGGTCAGATCAATCTGGCTAGAAATAGCCAGATTGGCGTGGATCTGGCTGCCGAAAATAGCTAGATCGTCGTGGATCTGGTCGAAAACCAGATCGGCGTGGATCTGGCTGGAAACAGCTAGATCACCCTCAGTCTGGCCATTTTCAGCCAGATCCATGGCGATCTAACTATTTTCGGCCTTTAATATGGTCGAAAATAGCCAAAACAACGCACGGATGGCCAAATCTTGCAGGTCATGCACCGTTTCGATGATTGCCGCCAATAGTCGACGGTAGTCTTGGGTGACTGGGGTATTTTGTTAAAATTTAAACCTTGTTGGGTGTTTTAGCAAAATTCTCAAACTAGGGGGTTAAAAGAATTTATTTAAATAATAATCATAATAATATTATTATTATTATTGAAAAGGAAGGGCAATTCATTAAAAGCTTCTATCGATAATATTTATTCTTCCCAACTAAATTATTTATACCCACTAATTTAACCAAGCATATTGATATAACATTCCCTCATAATCTTCAAGTAATATATCTCACTCACTCGTAATCTTACATTTTCAAAAATAAAACATTTCCTGAACCAAACAGATCCTAACTCTAACCCATTCCCAAACCATTGAACTAGACCTTTGTCTCAAACCTCTTATCTTTTGCGCTGGCCATTTCACTCATCATTGCTAGCTGCCGCCTGCCATCTTTCCAATCACCGTTGACCTTGAATCTTCCGTGAATCTTGACTTGACAACACACAACAGTAGCTGCAACACTACAACAAGTCTCCTGTAGTCCCGATTTATTCTCATTTCTCTGTCAAATTGTTGTTTTTTTGCGCCAATAACAGTTGCTGTCTCTCCAGCCACCGTCGATCGTCGTTGCTCGCCCTCTGTTCACTGCCAACGTCGACAACAGCACTACAGCAGGTTGTTCCCTTCGGTTCTTCACTTGTCGGATGGGTATTTTTAATTTTTTTTGTTTTTGTATACAATGATGATTGATGAATCCGGCTGGGTTTTGTATGCAATGATGATTGATTCAATTTTTGTCCCTTCTTTTTGTTTTTTACTTGGATTTCTTCTATGATCTTGCTAATGGGTTTGTAAATTGTAAAATTGTAATATGCTATGTAAATGTATTTGCTGATGGGTTGGTAAATGTATTTGCTGATGGGTTGATTATGGCGGAGAGGGTAGCGTGTCTTTGATTGGAAAACAGTTTGGGGGTGATGAAGTATACAAAAGCCACGTGAGAATGGGCAGAGTTAGAAATCTAATAAATCTGTTTTATTTTGTTTATCTCTTCTTTGTGTAACAATGTCTGTAACCGTTATGATCTTATAAGAAATTATTGTTATTGGCTCTTTAAGTTAATGACTGACTATAATCTTGCTGATGGGTTGGTAAATTGTAAAATTAATGAATTTAATTTAAGTAAAAAATTGGGCTGGTGGAGGGATCAAATAAACATGTTTAAAAAGAAATTGGGCCAAAGTGGAGGGTTTGATTGAATTGGACCAAACTGGGCCAACCCATTTAAATAAACTGGATTAAAACCGGTTAACCGAACCGATTTTTCGGTAGTTAACAATCGCTTCAAGTGGAAAACCGGTTCGGTTTCGGTTCAATTTTCCACTTGAACTGAAATTCGGTTTGGTTTACGGGTACGATGAACAAGTTCGGTTAACTGGTTTTTTCCACCCCTAATAATTAGAAGAAATTCTAATTTGACTAAATAAATAATTTTATTTTTCTCTAAAGCTTTGTTATCTATTTAGTCAAAGTGCCATTGAATATCTTGCAGAATATTTTGGGTAACTACAGATGACTTATGCATTTCACGCATCATGTAAATGATATTCTTCACATATCACAATTAAGGAGTTTTCTTTTAAGTATTTGACATTCTCAAAGGACAATATTACACTTACAACATAATCTCATAAACTTTCTCTCACAACCTCCACATGGTAGCTCGCAATTGATCAGTTCATAATGGATTTCGCTTCCCAAATAATGGGTCTTGTTTATCCAATTACAAGCTGTCACGTCGAGGTTGTGAGAGAAAGTTTGTAGAATTGGACTGTGAGCCAATATTTATTGTTTCTCAAATCAATGCCTAGAAAGTTCTTATGGTATTAGAAACATTGTGACAGGCGTCAAATGACATATTTTCTTGCATTTTCTGACCTACCAAATAGTTCAGAAAATATGATTATCCTTAAACCCTAAAGCTTAACCCTAAAGCTTAAACCTTAACCCCTAACCCCTAATCCCTAACCCATAATCCATAAACCTAAACTCTAATCCCTAAACCTTAAATGCTAAACCTAAAACTCACTCTTAAATCTTTAACTTGAATTCTACGCTTTTAGGAATATAAAAGATAGATTATTACTTTTTGTCCAAGTATTATCTTCAGAATAAAGTAATGCTAGGTCCACAACTTTCTCTCACAACCCCAGACGTGGTAGCTCGTCATTGGTTAGCTAGCAAAATAAATTTCACATGATTTTTTGCGAGCTAAACAATGATGAGTTAACATATAAAGGGTTGAGAGAGAAAGTAGTAAACCTAAAATTATTGCTTTATGATATTTACTTAATTAGCCCTTGGGGAATTCGAGCACTACAATTGCCATTCAGATAATCCGTACAATTTAATTGCCCACCCTCTTTCCTCAATTTGAAACCTAACTTCCCAAGTCCAAGATTTAAAAGAGAGAATGCTAAAAAGAAATCTAAAAATATATAATTAGGGTTCCAAAATATAATATGTCGTTGGGATATCTCATACAGAATCGTGTTGTACAAGTTCATAGACAAGTTTTTTCATGATAATGCGAAGATTTAATAATTTAATAAATTAAATTTATATAAAATATTGTAATAACCTAAAATTTATTTTTCACAAAACTAGTTTATACTTTATAGCCTAGGCGAGCCCTTCAAGAGCTACCCCTGGTAAAAATATAATTTTAAAATCTTAATAGTACGGGATGTATTTTTTTTTTCTTCTAAAAATGAAAGGGAAAATAAGTTGGTGGGTGCAAAATTTGTTTGAAATCCACCCTAAACAATCGGGTCAAAACCGGATACTTTAAAACGACCCGTTTGATAAACGGGTTGAAGTCTCCGTACAAATACATATACGATCATAAAGAATAAGTGTGTTGTTATTATTATTATTATTATTATTATCATTATTATTATTATTATGTTTGTAAATTTAAAAAAGTTGAACTGCCAAAGTTAGGGTTTCTGAAAATTCTCTCAAAAATTAATGTGATCAAACCCTCAATTCCACTCTTAACACTTGTATTTTGTACCAGTTAATCTTCTTTCTAACGCCATATAATTGTACTTCAAAATTTTCGTAAAAGGTACTCTCCTTCTCTCTCTGTAGATTTGTTCTTTTCACTGTGAATTGGGTTTTTTTTAAGCGGTTCAAGTTTACCTGTACCATTCATATATATTGTATTAGTTTCGACTCCATAATCTCAAATTTTTTTTTTTTCCTTTTAATTTTCATCTGAGTTCTGTTTGCTTTTGGTGACACAGTAGGGGAGTTCTGGAACATGAAATTATAGCATAGTGGGTTTTGTTCCTTTTGGTGTTTTCATTTAGTATTTGAATACAAGCGCTTGGTTATTGTGGCAATTTAAGTTGTTGAATTCAAACTGATCTTTTTTATTTTTTTTTATTTTCAAACTTGCGTTATTTTTTTAAGGAAGCTTCTGGGTCCTAATTTATAATTATATTGTTTCATAATTAAAGTAGCTCATACTATTTGCAGACTGCACCAGTGGGAATATAAAACATGTGGATTCTTAATTAATTGGCTCTCTATTTAGTAATAAATTCAAAGACATAGTCTTCATATGGATTTTGAAGTAATTGAAGTTGAAGGTGAAATGGGTCATCGTGGAGTGTCGGATGATGGAGATGCTGAACCCAATGAAGTTGGTGAAGCGAATACGACAGAGAATTCTTCTGCTCGTGGTGATGATGATGGGATTATGGAGCCATATGTGGGGATGGAATTTGACACTGAAGATGCTGCCAAGACTTTTTACGATGAGTATGCTAGACGTTTAGGTTTTAGTTCTAAAGTCAGTCAACATAGCCGCTCTAGAAGTGATGGGTCAAATGTCGCACGGGAGTTTGTATGTGGCAGAGAGGGTTTGAAAAGAAGGCATGCTGATAGTTGTGAAGCAATGCTTAGGATAGAGTTAAAGGGCGAAGATAAGTGGGTGGTTACAAAATTTATTAAGGAGCATACCCATTCTATGGTAAGCCCTGGTAAAGTGCATTACCTTCGGCCCCGCAGGCATTTTGCTGGTGCTGGAAAGGCCACGCCTGATGTTTATCAAGGAGTGGGAATTGTACCTAGTGGTGTAATGTATGTGTCCATGGATGGCAACCGAGCGACTGTAGAAACAAATAATTGTGGATCTAGGGCCGCTCCCATCATTGAATCAAATCGCCCCGTTAAAAATATGGGGGCGATGAATTATGTTGTTAGGCCTGCTAACAGAAAAAGGACATTAGGAAGGGATGCTCAGAATCTACTTGACTATTTCAAGAAAATGCAAGCTGAAAACCCTGGTTTCTTTTATGCAATACAACTTGATGATGACAATCGCATGGCTAATGTATTTTGGGCTGATTCAAGGTCAAGGGCAGCTTACAGTCATTTTGGTGATGCAGTTACACTGGACACAATGTACAGAGTTTGTCAATATAAAGTACCATTCGCTCCATTTACGGGAGTAAACCATCATGGTCAGCCTATCTTGTTTGGGTGTGCTCTACTACTAGATGATTCTGAGGCTTCTTTTGCTTGGCTGTTTAAGACGTTTCTTACAGCAATGAATGATCGGCAACCTGTCTCTATAACTACTGATCAAGACAAAGCTATACAGACAGCAGTTTTTCAGGTATTTCCAGAAGCACGCCACTGTATCAGTAAGTGGCATGTCTTGAGAGAAGGCCAGGAAAAGCTGGCTCATGTATGTCATGCTCATCCAAGTCTTCAGGTAGAGCTGTACAATTGCATCAATATGACTGAAACTATAGAGGAGTTTGAATTGTCTTGGAATTCAATCCTTGACAAATATGATCTCAGGAGACATGATTGGCTTAATTCAATATATAATGCTCGTGCACAATGGGTACCTGTGTATTTTCGGGATTCCTTTTTTGCTGCAGTATTACCGAATCCAGGATATGATGTTTCCTTTTTTGATGGTTATGTGAATCAACAGACAACAATTCCAATGTTCTTTAGGCAGTATGAAAGAGCTTTAGAAAACTCATTTGAGAGGGAGATAGAAGCAGATTTTGATACAATTTGCACAACACCAGTCTTGAGGACGCCTTCACCTATGGAGAAACAGGCTGCAAATTTTTATACAAGGAAAATATTTGCTAAATTTCAGGAAGAACTGGTGGAAACTTTTGTATATACTGCAAATAGAATTGAAGGTGATGCAACTATCAGCACATTCAGGGTTGCGAAATTTGAAGATGACAACAAGGCATACATTGTTGCATTAAATTATCCTGAAATGAGAGCAAACTGTAGCTGCCAAATGTTTGAGTATTCTGGTATTCTCTGTAGACATGTTTTGACAGTTTTCACTGTCACAAATGTACTTACGTTACCGTCTCATTATATCTTGAGACGGTGGACAAGAAATGCTAAGGCTGGGGCTGGAATAGATGAACGTAGCGGTGAACTACATGGCCAGGAATCGCTGACAATGCGATATAACAATTTGTGTCGGGAGGCAATCAAATATGCAGAGGATGGGGCAATTGCTGTAGAGACCTATAATGTTGCAATGGGTGCTCTTAGAGACAGTGGGAAGAAGATTGCTGTTGTGAAGAAAAGTGTTGCCAAAGTTTCACCTCCCAGTTCACAGGTCAGTGGCACTGGTTATGAGGACAGGAAGACTGCTACATCAGCTTCAGACACTGCCCCTTTGTTATGGCCTCGGCAAGATGAAATGACAAAACGGTTTAATCTTAATGATACTGGTCCTCCAATTCAACCTGCTTCTGATTTGAATTTGCCACGTATGGCACCTGTGTCCCTTCACCGTGATGATGCTCCTTCTGATAACATGGTAGATTTTAAAAATCCTTGTGGTGTTTTATTTATTTATTTATCATTTCTATTCTGACTCTTTTGTATAGGTGGTTCTTCCTTGTCTAAAGTCAATGACTTGGGTGATGGAGAATAAGAATTCACCACCAGGGAATAGAGTAGCAGTGATCAACCTGAAGGTATAGCATGTTGTTGAGTCATGAGCCATCTCTAGTTGGGATGTGATTAATGTGACAATCAACAAAACCAAGAGTTGCTATTTAAATATTTTGAAACTTTAGTATATGTTAAAATGATTGTTTTAACAAATTTTTTTTGGTCTGATCATTTACAAAATTTTCGTTTGAACTCTAGGTTGGGTGAGTGGATTGCCTTGGCTGTTATAATTCTCTTGCCATTGTTAGACAGCTGACTGAGTCATTCATATATATGTTTTTTTATCACCTTTGCAGTTGCAAGATTATAGCAAGACTCCATCAGCAGAATTGGAGGTTAAGTTTCAGCTTTCTCGCGTTACACTCGAACCCATGTTGAGATCTATGGCCTATATTAGTGAGCAGCTTTCAACCCCAGCTAATAGGGTTGCTGTCATCAATTTGAAGGTAAGAAATTGAGACATGAAGTTGACCTTTTGATGCTGGATCTTCTACACTTTGTTATTCTTATTAACCTTTTTTCTCAAAAAGGAAGAAAATGTATGGAATGCTTAAAATCTTTATAAGCAGAATTAATATAAAATCATCACTCACACACATATATATAAACATTAACGAAGTCTGCATACCTTGTTTGTATTAGCAACTAGAAAGAACAAAATATTCTTGGACTGGGCTCAGGCCTACCCCAGCGCAGCAGTCATATGTTTATCTTTCCTTTAATGTGGTACTTCGGTGGTAGTGCTGACAAAAATATGAATGGGATGGCATCTTGGGTTTCATTCTTACGGGTGTCGAGCACTATATTCTTGCATCTTCATTTTATCTATTTGTTTGATTTTACTGGAGGTATAGTTTTAGCAACTAGCAATGGCTTCTTGCTTAGCTTAGATGGTAAAAGAAAGAGGATTTCCTGAATAAAAAAACTATGTTCTTGTTATTGATGGAAATACATTCTTATAGAATTTTTAATAATGGCAAGCAGAGAGGAGGTGTAGTAATGGCATTTTGAGATGATTCAGAACGTACTGTTGTGCAAGCATTTCTGAGAAAGTCATTGCTGTTTGGCAGTGAAGGGGACCTAATACTTTGAATTTGTGCTTTCAATGTTCTGGAGATCTTAATATTTGATGAATTAGAAATGTCCTTCAAAATTCTCCTGTTACCTTTTTTGTAGGTTTTACCTCATAAATGCATTTTTTCACCCCTTTGAAACTAGGTGGTCCACAGTTTGGATTGTCAGGAATGTTGGATAGGGGAGTGTGAGCTTGTGCATCTGTGTATTTGTACACATTGAAGTAAAACTTATATCTCGGGATGATATTCTTTATATTCTTTTTTTTTTTTTTTTTTTTTTTTAATCCTTCTCATTTTAGGCTATATATTAAGTGTCTCGTATTTTGTAACATTAGGGTGTGCTTCAGGAAATACACTCTATGTGACATTTGATAGAGAATGGAAGGTTGGTGAGGTGTGGCACTGAGTGGTGAATTTGAATTAACAAAAAGACTTTAAAGTGGGTAAAGTAGGAATATATTAGCTGATGAGAGTAGCATATTAGGTATGGTATTATGACTTGTAACTGGAGAAGGTGAAACTGAAATTACTGCATAAAACTTAATATAATGTGGCATTAAGTTAAATGAAATATTGATGGTCATGTTATAGAATGAGTCGAAAAGAGATGATTCAGGAGTAGGATTGAGAGGAAAAAGCTAGTAGACACTTCGCTTTTTAATCCTTTGCTCTAATGCCTGTTAAGTCCTGTTTTGTTATAGCACTCAATTTGTTAGTGACTGAATTAGTTTATGTTTCCTATTCTTTGTAGATCTCTTAATATAGCCATGGGATAATGTGAAATTGATTAATATCCATCTGTCAATATAAATAGGTCTCTTAATATAGCTCCTTTGTACATGTTATAGTATGAAAATGATTCTTATCTGTGTGTCAATATTAGCAAATGTTCTCTTTTAACTTTTTCTTATTAATAAATGTGTGCCTGTAATATGATCTAGGAAATAGTTGCAATTAATTAACTTAGCCATCTGATGTTACTTTTTTTTTCACCTGGTGTCAAGAGATTTTAAGCTGTTTCTTTGCTCTAGTGCTTCTTCATCTTTTATCATTTCTTGAAAAGTAAATAAATTACCGTAATTGAACGTGGGACTTCAGCCCTTGCTCTTTCTAAAGTCATCTTGGTTCTTCTTGTTCTTTTTATTTCCTGAAAAGTAAATAAATGACTGTTATTCCATGTAAATTGAACACAGGACCTCAGCCCTTGCTCCTTGTAAATTCACCATGGATAGTTCAATAGAAATAAAGCAAGATTATAGATACTTTATGCAAGTCATGGATATTTAGCATCACGCACCTTATCTGGTTTGCGTTTCAGATGCCTCTAATTTGGAATTTCTATTGATTATCAATTCTTTGTCTTGAATAGATTTAAAAATATGAATCATGAGATAATTATAAGGTCACAAGAAGATAATTTGTTTATATATTTCACATCTCTCAGTTATGCGCAATTGCGATGCTGTTGCCTTGTTTACCCTTTTTTTTTTATTTCTGGGAATTTTTTTTTTCAGCTTCAAGATACTGAGACAACTTCTGGAGAGTCGGAGGTTAAATTTCAAGTTTCAAGAGATACCTTAGGTGCTATGTTGAGATCAATGGCTTACATCCGGGAGCAGCTTTCTAATGCTGTAAGCATTGTCTCTTTACACTTGTTATCACTATTTCTGGTGCATGACTCACAAATGTTCTTCTGTACTAAAATTGTTATATACTGTCATCTTTTTTCTAGTGTTTTTTCTTTTGTAAATTTTCAACAATATACTGGAAAGTTACTTTGTTCACATGATCTTGTCATCAGATCTGGTCTATAAAAATGAAAATGAAACTTGCGTGTTTGATGATAGGGTTGAGACACTTCTTATGTTGCTCAAGTTCAAACTTAATATCAAAGTAAATTTCCATGCAGCTAAAACATTTCTGGTTCCTTTATTGGTGCTTATGGCTTTGCTTGTAAGTTTAATTTTTTCAAGGCAACTTCTTGATCTTAGAAATAATGTTGCTCTTTCAGGGAAAAAGATAATGGTTTTGATATACATTCATTGTAACTAGCTGTTTGTAGAGATGTAAACATAGAGCTCCATATAGAAAACAATTTAGTTCTTTCATAGGAGGGTTTTCCCTGGAGAATTGATTATGCCTCAGTAATTTTGATATGTTGAGGTATAAAAGATGCTATATCTTTGCTGGAGTATGTCCAGCAGGTGAACCTTTGTTTGTCCTCTTTTGCAGTCTGAACACAACTTTTTGAAAGCTTAAAAGGAATTGTGCACAGATTTGATTGACATGCCATATTTGGGTGGTAATTGAGTTGAAAATATAATCACCATGTATGGGTTGAATGGTATTACACTCGATTTCTAACCACTTGTGGTTAGAGGATCTAATGCTTTTGGAGCCACCTATCTTAGATATTATATTCTATCGATTTTTTGACCACTAAAGGCTGTAGGGTTATATTGAGTACCCAATTTCGAATCCAGGGCATAGACAAGTGAGGCCAATGGATTTTTAGATAATAAAAGAGAGGGAGAAAACAAAGATTGTGTCAAAAACATGTATCATTTCTTAATTTCCTGAAGATTGTCCTAAGAGAGTTTATGAGTGAACTAGGTTTTGACATTCCTTCTTGAGATTCTATCTTTTTTGGTAAAAGAAATTTGAGAGAGATAGGATAGGAAGATGCTTTGCCTGAAAAAAACAAGATACATGTTGATTAGGGGAAACTAACAAAGGTTAGACAAAATTGGAATGGGAAGCCTTTTAACCCTTAACTTCTGTAAATCCACCTACTGTAGATATATCCCCTCCTTCCCCATGTTTTAGTTCCATGGGTTCAACCAGTGCGGATGATCTACCCTCATTGGTGTGTTATGTGCAAAAATGATGCAAAATCCTGTGACCATTTGTTTCTTCATTGTTCAATGGCTTCTTGGTTATGGGCTAAAGTTTTACAGAAAACCTATCTTTAGTGGATTATTCCTAGACCTTGTTTTGATTTACTTATGGAGAATTTGACTTTCTTTGGTGAAGGGAAAAAGGTCAAGACTCTTAGAAAATGCATGGTTCTTGCTCTTTTGTGAATGATTTTGGGTTAAATAAATAAATTGACTTTCAAGATAATGCAGCAGAAGAAATTGGTGTCTATAGAATAAAATCTAGTTTTTGGCATCTCCTTAGGTTTCTTTCTCAGAACCTGTAAAGACACCTGTTTTCTTTTTATCCATCTTAATTGGTTTTTTTTTNAAATTATGTTTAATAACTCTTAACTATTCTCATGTTGATATTTTACCTGTTCTTGGTGTTTGGTGTCCATGAATGCAAACCACGTCTCTCATTCCTGACATTGTCTTCATGTGCTTCAGCTATGTGGAGTTAGAGGTGGTGGAAATGCCGCAGCACAGGCATTGTTTTGGCAAGCAAAGAAAGGGCTTTCGTTTGTTTTGGCATTTGAATCTGAGAGAGAAAGAAACGCAGCTGTTATGCTTGCCAGGAGGTTTGCGTTTGACTGCAATGTAGGTTTACAATATCTCTCTTAATTTTTTTACATAAAAGTGAAACCCTTCTTCACCGATTATTAGATTTTGAGTCTGTTGTATTTTTGTTCTCATCCTTTTTTCGAGTTAATTTTTATTTTAACACGACTGAGATATCTTTTTATCTCCAATGCTTTAATGCCAGATCACGCTTGTTGGGCCGGATGACAGATCTCCTTTAGGAAACTAACTGACCTCCATCATATTCTGTTTCACTAATTGTAATTAGTTGTTGAGTATCATCATGTATTATAAGTTTGCATTACTAGGATTTGGAGTTGTATGATTTTGTTGTGGCTGGCTTTTGTTTTTTTGGCTGTAGCACCAAGGCATTGTTTTTTGTTTGCCTTTTTGTTCGAGTGTAACAAATTCCCAACAACATTTGGAGAATTATTTGCTGCTGTATTTTAATTTACAATTGTTGAAAGTTTGATATTTTATGGTTGATGATTGGTATACAAGTGCTAGATTCTGGATGGTCCTGTATTTTTTTAATTTTTTTTTCTTGTAAATGGATGGAGAGGTGAATTGTGAAATTGCTCAGTTTTGTGCATTGTAATCATAGTCCCAATCTGAGCAGTACTTTGAGCTTTCAGTATTTTTTATTTTTATTTTCTTTTATCTGAATTTTAGACCTTTGATTTTGATAGCATGTTAAGTGTTCATACAAATTATAGTTCAAATCTCAACTGTATTTTGAGCTTAAACAATACAAATCCTAGTTGAATCGGCCAGTCGGGTTTTAAAAGTGGTTCAAATCTCAAGTGTATTTTGAGCTTTTCATTAATAAGGTAGACTCCGGGGTATTTCTTATAAGTGAACATAACTAATATCCATAATACGTCATTGACATAGAAGCATTTCTTTGTTTTAAAAGTTGGATTGGAGGGCAACCCGCTTTACTGTTCGGGTCACGGTTTAATCCGGTCTAACCGGTTGGACTGGTGACATCATCACATATAATAATGATGTCAACATATTTTTAAATTTTTTTTTTTTTTTTAGATTTCTATTTTTTAATAAGACAATAACAATTTAATTACTGTCCAACATGATTCAAAGTACAAATTCAATAATAATCTCAACATAATTTAAGTATTTAACAACAATCCAAAGTCCAAATCTAAACATAATATTGTATTTACATATTAAATGATAAAATACATAATAAGTAAGAATATAATTCTCATATTAGACGCCGTTGAACATAAAGGTAATCAAATTATAATTTGATGGCGAAATTTTTGAATCAAGGTCAAAGAATATAACCAAAATATGGCAGGGACAACATTCCAAAATAAAATATACTCATAAGGTGGTAATTACAATAGAAAGAATAAGGATTTCATTCAATAAAATGTATGAACAATTAAAATACAACACTTCAGCATACACACAGGATTGGAAAAATCATGTTGACAAAAATTGTTGGTTTACAGTTTACACACTAAATTTTATCTGCACCTTTGCCGTGAAAAACTAGGGGATCTTGTTGGTTGTGCACCTCTGTAATTTCTATTGGTAGACTCTATTGCTCCGTAGGGTCTGCTTGAAGCACCCATTGAACCTCGGAAGGACGCGTATGAGGCTTTAGTTGATTGTGGCAAAGAGTCCATCAGAATCGACACCATGAAGCATGCAGCCAAGAACTGCAATACACAAACCTCAGCTACTTAATCTGGAAACCATAAATCATTAGAACAAACGATATGAGCATGATCAAGGCTCGAATGAACAAAAAAACCAGATCTTGATCACAAAAATCACGGCTTTCTGACTAGACCAAACACTGATCCAAAGCAACAACGTAAACCTAGATACATAAAGCAAGATCACAAGGTAAAAGAGTGAGAACCCATCATGAAAAACACAAGAAAACTTAAAAAAGGGTACGCGATTTCAAGGATCAAAATTGCAAGAGCCTTACCTAGATCGAGGAATGGAGTTGTCGTCAACAAATGGAGCTGTTGCCATCGATTTCCAGCGAGGAACAGAGCTGTTGTCATCGATTTCCGGCGAGGGAGGAAGACGTCGTCGATTTCCGGCGAGGGAGTTCAGTTGCGACTTGGTGAATGCCGAATGGTTGCGATTTCAAACTTAGGGAGCGGAATTGATTGCGATTTGAGTGGGATTTCAGAGAGAAATTTTCGAAGAGAAGCTGAGAAATCTGAGAGAAACTGAGAAAGAGAAGAAGCTAAGAAACAGAGAAAGGAAATCGATGGAATGGGCTACGATTAGGGGTTTTTGAAATCAGACCGGTTTATCCACAGGTCTGGTTGGACCGGCGGTTCATTGACTTTATCCGAGTTTTGACCGGGTTAAAGCGGCTTAATGCATAATGACGGGTTTAAGGTTGACTCAAACTAGACACTTGACCGGTTCTCGGTGGTTCGACTGGAAGCCGGCATTGACACCGGTCTAAAAACTTTCTAAACCCGCTTTTAACAATTAACCCGAAATAAACCGGATTTGGACTGGTGGAATAGTGACAAACCGCCGGTTCAATCAGACCGGTGGCATAACCGGGTCACCAAAAATCCCTAAAAACAATTTTCCCTTTTTCAATTTCCAGTTCTCCATCTTCAATTTTTATCATAATTTAAATGCTTATTAACATATCACAACATTTTATATTGACAGCCAATGTTTCAAAATTTAAATTCATAGATCGTTGGATGGAAAAGAATGATTACAACAAATACCAAACAGTCCAACCAACAAATTGCAACCCAGTCAATATTTCTGAGAAAACCTTAGGTAAAGATGTCAAAAAGCCAGCAAGATGTGCAGGTAGCCAACTAGCCCTCGTAGATCGAAAAAAAAAAAAAAAGCAAAGGAGAGAAGAAACAAGACGGTAGAAGAAGAGAAAAAAGAAATGGAAAAAAGAAAATCCAGTAGCCATGAAGCCTTCACCGTGGCGGATAGATCCAGCAATCACAAAGCCTTCACCATGGCGGATAGATCCAGCAGCCACGAAGCCTACACCGTTAAGGTCCAAACAGTAGCCATGGTAGATCGAAAAAAGATGCAAGGGAGAGAAGAAAGGGAGACAGTAGAAGAAGAGAGAAAGAAATGGGAAAAATGAATAAAAGTAAGGAATTTAGGGTTTTCTTTACAAGTTTTAAAAAGTCAATAAGACCCTCTTTGAAATGGCGTCGTTTTGGATTTTAGCTGACATCATTGGTCCAACCCACCGGTCCAACCAGTTGGACCGGTCAACCCGAGACCCGAGCCCTTGATCGGGTCAAGGCTTGGGTCAGGTTTTAAAACAGTGCATAGAAGTAGAGCATATACATAATTGTTTTAGCACTGTTTTAAAACTCGACGTGGTGTGAGACCCGATAAGGTGACCAGGTCACGGGTTGACCAGTCCAACCAGTTGGATTGATCGGTGGATTAGTGACATCAGCAACAAATGTATTTTAAAAAAAATCATATATTAGTCTCTTAAATTTTAGTATATTACAAAAATACCTTTAAAAATTTTAATTAGTCCTTAAAATTTTTATTTATTTTTAAAAATACCAAAAAAATTACCAATTAATCCCTAAAGTTTTGACATATTTAAAAACATCCTTAGAGAATTACAATGAGTCCCTATAAATTTGAAATATAGTAAAAACCTCCCTAAAACCGGAAGCGGACCGGAGAGGCTGTTGGGTCCTGGTCGGACCGATCAAACCAGCCGGTCCGATCCAGGGTTTTAAAACAGTGATAGACATACATAACATTTGAGAAAAAGTCCAGAAAGCAGGAGGGCTAATCAGAATTTCTGAAAGTAGTCATAAATGTGTTTGGTAATCTCCCGAGGCTTTTCTTGTTGAATGAAGTGGGCAGCTCCTTCCATTACAACTACTTCATCCAACAACGGAACATCTTTCTTAAATCCACCATTGTGAATATACTCTTTCACTCCTGGTAAATGATAGCACAGGTCCTCCTGCCCCACCACAAATTTCACTGGTACATTTACTTTACCTCCCGACCATTGTACGAGTTCCCAGTTCCTGCAATTTTCAGAAAAACTAGTAAACCAAAATTTGATATAACAAAGAAAAAAGAGCAACCTACATAGACAAGGTGGACTTTGCCCACAAACAGAGATTTGGAGAGAGAGAATAGATAAGATGTGTTGAATCTTTGGTTTAAATGAGTAGATATTGTTCGGTTTAGACCCAAGCCCGTATAGGTTTGTTTTTGGGTGGTTTTGGGTTTCATGCATGCCTACTTCATCCAAATCGTGTCCCATTAGTTAAAAAACCTAAAACTTATAAATTGAATCTTAGACTCAATGGCTAACGAAGTGAGATGTGACAAACTCTCTTCTTATGGACTTCACGTTCTGAATAGACATTGTTTGTTTTGGATTAAAGCCCGCACAAATTTTGCTTTTCAACTTCACGCAAGCGTTCTTCATCCAAAAAAAAAAAATAAGACAACTCAAGCCTTATGATTGAATCTCATTCTTTTTTGTTAGTAACGTAGGATTTGATAAATAGTCCTTGTCCGAGAATAAAGATTAAGGAATTCAATAGAAAATTATGGGATGAGGGGTTCAAACTTGAAATTTCTAGCTTTGATACCACTTAAAGAAAAAAACTTGACTCAAAAGCTTAAAGATGGCATTATTGCATTAATATAACCTCCATTGATGATACTGACACATGACATTTGTGATGCTAAGTACTAGTAGTGTATAAACATTAACCCGAATAACATAATGGTATCTGCTGCTGCATATCTAAAATTTCATAATATCTCAGCAACCAAATTAGAAAAGATTACAGGATAAAAATGAAGTTGGTCTAATACTGAATCACAGTTGCAAAAGAAACTTACAAGTCCAAGTTGCGGTAATAGTTAACTCCTCCAGTAAATCCCGTCTTCTCAAATTTGGTGGTGTAGTACTTGACATCTTCCTCTGACAACCAAGGGGGTAAGACAATTGGAGTGTCAGGTAAATGCCCAAATCCTTTCCCTTTAGGCAAATAAATTGGACCTGGAATCCTATATGTTAGGAATCCCTTTATAAATCTCTCTACACCAATATGCTCTGCAATCTCACCTTCTATCCCTCCTGGTTCCTACAATATCATAACGCAATCATAAGCCATTTATGCTAGATTTCTCTCTTTAAACAAAATCCTGATATTTCGGGAATTAAAATTAGTGATACTACTGTACTGAGGAATTCCTCTGATATAAAAAAAAAAAAAAAAATATAAGGATGCAGCAACAGAACCTGAAATCTGCAGATGTAATAGTCATCACCAAAGAAAGCTCTGCAGCCATCAAGAGGTCTTATGTTCCCCGCAAAGGGTTTAAACACCACACTTGTGTTAAACAAAGCTGCGATTTTATCAGGTCTGAACAGGCACAAGTACCACGCCATGTAAGCTCCCCAATCATGTCCCACCACAAATACTTTTTCATCCTTGCCGGCAATCCCATCGATCAGCATAACCAGGTCGCCAATCACATGCAGACACGTGTAGCTGGTCTGCGAAGGCGGCGCCTCGGTGTCGCCGAACCCACGGAGGTCGGGAGCCACACAGCGGTACCCTAAGGAAGATAAGGCCAGGATCTGGTGCCTCCAGGAGAACCAAAGCTCAGGAAAGCCATGGAGGAAGAGAATTATTGGGCCTTTGCCTTTCTCTGCAACGTGCATGTTTATGCCATTTACCTTCACTATTCTGTGCTCTATGCCCTCCATTGAAACTTAGATTATTTGTCTGAATTATTTATCTTGTGTTTAACAGTTCTTATAGTGAAGGAGAGAAACAGTCACAATGGGAGAAAAAAATGAGATGACGATAATCACGAGAGGAAATTTAGCTGATAGGCCTTCCCAAGTTTCCAATTGAGAATATTGCCTTGAAAATGTTTGGCTTCGTGTGGTTGGATTTTGGGAATACTACTTTTAGTATTTCCAAAAAAGTTAAACAGTAAAATACCCAAAAACTCATAATATTATTTAACTTTATTCAATTTTTTTTAAACCCCCTAAATTTGTTAATTTAATTAAATACTCCTAAATATTTTTAATGTTTTTGTTACAGCGACTCCGACCACCCTCTGGCGGTTGTGGTCGGCTGTCCGTATTTGAGGGTGGGTTGGAGGTGTTTTTGTTAACTTTTAATGTTTTATTATAGGGGGTGTTTTGTAAAAAAACAAACATCAAGGATATTTTAGTAATTTGTAAATCTTACATCGTAATACCCGCCCAATTCAACTTTTTTTTTTAACTTTTTTCAAAAAACTTTTTCCAAAAATCCAAAATTTTGAACCAAACGAAGCCTTTTTGATTTTTTTTTTTGTTTTAAAAATCTGACCTGACACACTTAAGCGTAATTAAAGCAACAAAAAAAAAGGTTAGGGTGAAAAGATTTAAATGTTTGTGGGTTAAAATATAATAAAAAGAAGTTGGTTTAAAATTTGAAAGATAAAACACATTCCTCCGCCATTGACATCTTCTTCTTCCTCCGTCATTAACATCTTCTCTGTCAAAGATCCACCTCTTCCTACTCCTGACATTTCATCCAAGGATGTGTATCTCCTCTTTGCATTTTATAATTCTATTTACAAAGATTTAATGATGGATTGAGTTTGGGTTATGATTTTGATTATGTGGTTTAGGTTCTTGGGTAGTGTTTGATGTAATGCAAGTTGAAATGAGTGAGATTTGTTGATGATTTTCTTGTATTGTGTGTAGCTCGGGGTGGTAGCATCGATTATAGGTGAAGATGACTGAAAATGTATTCTGGAGCTAATGGATCTCTTAAGCGATTTGGTATAAGTTTGGTATATAGCAGCAGATCGTTTAAGCGATCTGGTTTATCGCTTAAGCGATCTGGTATATCACTTCAGCGATCTGGTATGGCAGCAGATCACTTAAGCGACCGGGTATATGGCAGCAAATCGCTTAAGCGATCAAGCTTATTTATACCAGATCGCTTAAGCGATATACTAGATCGCTTAAGCGATCTAGTAAGCGATACACCAGATCGCTTAAGCGACTCATCAAATGTTTTTTAAAATCTATCTAACCCTTAATATATCGGTTAATAACTTTTTTTTTTATGATCGCTTAAGCGACCAAGGTTAAAAGCAAAAGATCGCTTAAGCGATAAAATAAATCGCTTAAGCGATCGTGCGTCTAAGCACTTATTGATTCTGTCTTGTTCATGATCGCTTAAGCGACCAAGTGTAAAAGCATAGAGTCGCTTAAGCGATAACATAAATACAACCAAATCTCTTAAGCGACTAAGTCTAAATACACATGATCGCTTAAGCAAGAAATAAAATCTCTTAAGTGATCCAGTGTATTCGAATTATTTTTATTGTATTTCACTAGATCGGTTAAGCGATTGACGCTATCTTAAACATATAAGATGTACGATTTGTTCAGTGGACCATGGCCGTTATTATATTTTAATTAAATTAGTTCTTTTACGGCTATATTAAACATATACGGTGTAGAATGTTTACGTCTATATTAAACATATCAAGTGTATGATTCGTTCAGTGGACCATGACTGTTATTATATTTTAATTAAATTAGTTCTTTTGTGGCTATATTAAGCATATATGGTGTAGAATGTTTACGTCTATATTAAACATATCAGGTGTACGATTCGTTCAGTGGACCATGACTGTTATTATATTTTAATTAAATTAGTTTTTTTACGTCTATATTAAACATATGTTCATAAACATGGAAAAGAAATATTGAAGTAAATTACCTTTAATCGCTTAAGCGATCCCGTCTATTTAGCCTTGGTCTATAGAGTGCATAGCAGATGGTTGCAGAGTTCAATTTTATATCAATATTATATTTTTTATATATTACTTTCTTGCCAAGAACTAACAAAAATAGTAGAATAACAATAGATCTTTCAGCTTTATGTACGGTGTTGATCGACAAAGACCAAAGTATTCTTTTCACATTCTATTGAAATGAAAAAGATAATTAATAGTAATAAATAATTAATAACAAAGGACTAAATATTAAATAAACCTTACAAAATATAATTTCTCACTCAAACGTTCATAATATCAAAAGATTCGCTAAGCGATTGCTAATAAGTTATTAACCGATATATTAAGGGTTAGATAGATTTTAAAAAAATTTGCAGAGTCGCTTAATCGATCTGGTATAAATAAGCCCGATCGCTTAAGCGATCTGCTGCTATATACTAGACTTATACCAGATCGCTTAAGCGATATACCAGATCGCTTAAGCAATCCATTAGCTCCAGAATACATTTTTCAGTCATCTTTACCTATAATCGGTGCTACTACCCCCAACTACGCACAATGTAAGAAAATCATCAACAAATCTCACTCCTTTCAACTTGCATTACATCAAACACAACCCAAGAACCTAAACCACTAAATCAAAATCATAACCCAAACCCAATCCATCATTAAATCTTTGTAAATAGAAATATAAAATGCAAAGAGGAGATATACATCCCTGAACGAAATGTTAGGAGTAGGAAGAGGCAGATCTTTGGCGGAGAAGATGTTAATGGCGGAGGAAGAAGAAGGTGTTAATGGTGGAGGAAGAAGAAAGTGTTAATGGCGGAGGAAGAAGAAGATGTAGACAAAGAAGAAGAAGAAGATGCAGAAGAAGAAGAAGATGTAGACGAAGCTTAGAAGAAACAACAACCAAGGGAGGGAAGCGTTAATGGCGGGAGGAAGAAGAAGAAGGTGTTTGGGTTTGTTTGCTAGATTTTTGACTCTTTGGAGACTTATTATAATTTTTAAAAGATTACACAATTATTCATTAATCCTAATTAACTCCCTAATCATGTTTAATTAAGCTTAATAAAAAACAAGGCCATTTAGTTAAAATTTACAAACTCTATAGCCTTTTAATTAAATTTTAAGTTAAAATGGTCTTTTAATAAAATGCCCCTAATCACGAAGGGTGGTATCAAATTATATATAGAAAATATTTTTTAATTTATAAAGTAATTTTAGTGGATAAAATGCCCCTAATCACGAAGGGTGGTATCAAATTATATATAGAAAATATTTTTTAATTTATAAAGTAATTTTAGTGGAGCCTTTTTGTTTTTTTGTCACGAGCAATTTTTGACTTTTTACATACATATCATATGACTTGTGTGGTAGTCGTTTCCTTGGATTTATTTAGTTGGGCGTTTGCAGTTTGGACCATTTCCCACCACATTAGTTAGGTGCGGGTATGTTAATCTAATGTTTTTGAAATAGTTTATAAATAAATTTATTCTAAAGAATAAAGTAATTAGATTAAGAGATGATAATTGTTAACTTATACAAGTTTTAGAGTAAATATAAATTCTATATACGTATAGAGTTGTGTTAAGATAAATTAATAATTGTACCTTCATAATTATTAATATCAATTAATATTATCAAGATTAATTATTTAAACTTAAAATTTCTCTGGTCATGGTTTGAAAACAAACTTCTGTTTACACAGTTCATTCAAAGGCTTTGTTTGTTTTACAGCTGAGAACACGATAACTCAATTAATTTCCAGGTTAATAATTGTAGAACCACAAAATAAAATATGAAGGGACTAACTTCCATCTTTATACATTTTTTTTTTTTTTAAATGGTTAGATTTTTTGAATGCCTATGTAATGTACTTATATAATTATTATTAATACTCATCCAATATGTGAAGATGGAAGAATTAAATCAAAACCAAAGTGTCAAGATGGAGAATTTTTGGTGTTCCTTTAATTCATTAAACAGTAAATGCAATGTGTCAATTAAAGGAACACTTTTCAATCAATTTATGAGTAACATCAAAATCAAGATAAAGTTGAATATAGAGAATAATACTTTTATTATAAAAGAAATGAGTACATCGATTTTTGATATTGTGAAGTGGGTTTGGACGATGTAGACGGTGTTTATTTTATATTCTTCTTATAGTTGTTCAGTTCTTCTAGAGCATATGCGTACTCTCTTTTGTTTATGTTATAGATAATATCCATGACAGATTGCATGATTTCTAATATCTGGTCAATGACCTCTCTGAATTTGTCTCTAGCAGTATGTAGATAATCCAGATTGGTGTCAACTTTTTTGAAAATCTCCCTCAATTTCGGCATTTCCTAAAAAATGTCTAAACCAATTGCAGAAACAATAGACAATCAAATTTTATAAATATAGGGAAACAATAATTTTTGTGAATATATGTAGATCATACCTTCTGGAGAATTATTGTTGTCGAGGTCGTTGCTGATATTCGTTGGAAATTCTTTTGGTTGTGATGTTTTGTCAGCCATTTTTGAATTAAGTTGTGGAAAAGAAATGAACAATTAAAGTGTATAGTATGTGAAGAAAGTTAAATGGATGATTGATGTCAGAGCAATATTTATAGGAGGATAGGATACGAAGAGGTGGAATCTAAACAAACAACGGGTAATAAATAAACGTGTCGATCAAAAAAATGTTAATAACTGTTTGGATAAGGTAATACGAAACGTTAGTAGACTATTTGTACAATATTAAAGAAAACTATAATAAATATTTTGTTAATGTGCAACATATTAGTTAGGTAGTTAATGATGGTTCGATAAGATGTTGAGATATTATAATAAATAAACATTATGATTTAGTAATAATAAAATCTTATTGATACGTTTTTAAAGGAAGGGCAATAAATATTTTGTTAAGTATCCAAGTCAGAGATGATATGATGATATCATAATA